ATGTTCAACATCACTGGTTATTTCAAGAGATGCAGATGAAAACAACACTGAGATTCCACCTCACCCCACAAAGAATGGCTGCTATCAAGAAATCAACCAATAACAAATGTTGGCGGGGTTGTGGGGAGAAAGGAACTCTTCTCCATTGTTGGTGGGAGTGCAGACTGGTGCAACCACTATGGAAATCAATATGGAGATACCTTAGAGAATTAGGACTAGAGGTTCCATTTGACCCAGCCATCCCTCTGCTGGGTATCTTTCAAAAGAATTAAAAGAATCTTACCACAGTGATATATATGCCACTATGTTTATAGCTGCAGTTTGTAATAGCTAAAACTTGGAGACTGGATAAAGATGTGGTTTTTCTATAAAACAGAATACTACTCAGCCATAAGGAATGAGAAATTAGAGTCATTCACTGGAAAATGGATGCATATTGAGGTCATACTCTTAAGTGAAATAAATAAGACACACATCTGTAAATACCAAATAGTTTATCTGCTGTGAAAAACAAAGTGTAAATAAGATCCAAATTGTATAAGTGACTATGTGAAATAGAAAAGGCCTGTAAGTGTAGAGGAAGTGGGAAGGGTAGGGAAAAGTAAATAAGGGAAAAGAAAAAATATGAAAAAAGAAAAAAATGGAAACAAAGTCTTTGTAAATAGGGGAGGGTGGAGGGGGTGAAAGAGGGCAGGGCATGGGAAAAAAATGAGAAACAAGATCTGTCATGTAAAGGTACAAGATCCCAACAATAAATGTAACTGCTGTATAAAGTACCAATAAATTCAATGAAAAAAAACTCAAAATGGAGTAATCTTAGAATGTTAAAACATGCAAAGTGAAAACCCTTAGCAAAGACAAAATACTTTGTGATTTAGAACTAAATAAGACTTCATAAGCTTAACACCAAAAAGCATAATTCATAAAAGAAAAAACTGAAACTGGACTTCATTAAAATTAAAGTCTCTCTGTGGAAGACTGAGGATAAGCAGAAAAATGACAGATATCTGCAAACCACATATCTGAAAAACAGAAAAACCTCGCTTCTAGAATATATAAATAATTCTCAAAGATAAAAAGCAAAAAACAAAATTCAATTAAACAAGTCAAAAGATACTTCATCAAACACACATTTCAGCAAGGATGTAAAGTCAGACTTTGGATTTAGATTTTATTAGTCTATTAGCTACAGACTTAAGTAGGTATCCACCAGAGTCATTTCACATCTAACTCCATTATTTCCTCAAGAATTTCTTTGTTCTTGTCCTTTCCCTATTTCCTCCGAACTACTGTATGTATGTATGTATGTATGTATGTATGTATGTATGTATATATAT